ATATTTCTGTATCAATTTCAAGATAAATATATACGTAAATTTTCATTGGCAGTAGAGTTTATTCCTCATTTCGTGCTGGTTTTTCCATCACAATTCCTTCCTGTAATATATATATATATATATATATATATATATATATATATATATATATATATATATATATATATATATATAATATAAACTTTTAAACATTTGAATCCTCATATTTATCTCCTATTTTTTACCTTTATTAAATTTTTTCTAAGTATATAACTTAAAAATAAGGCTAGTTTTTTTTTAGATATACAAGCATAAAGATGAAAGAATCACAAAATATTCAAAACAAATATATTTTTACTCAGATTTTGTCGCATTTTAAGGAAAATGGTCAGAGTGTACAAGTAGAAATCATGATTCAATCTTTATTTCTATAGCACTATTACTAGATTGCCTCAAAGCAGCTTAACAGTGTGTCAGTCCAGTTTTCAGAGATGACCTTATTTTATTCACAGTCCAGAAATAAACCTCTGGACAGTAATAAATCCAACACAAATCCCCACACTGTAGATTGTGACGAACAATGCAACACTAAACCAAACATGATTTTTCCTGATCACTTCCAGGGAGCTATAACAATGTGAATTATCCGTCTCCGGGTTTCGTCAACCCCATTCCCTGGAAACCCATTCATGTCCCGAAGCAGGAGCCATCGGCCCGCAAGAGTTCATCTCGGAGGAGAAAAACAGGACCAGCCAAAAGCCAATCCAGCTCCTGCTTCACTTGCAGACCCAAAGACACCGTCAGTTTCGCCTGTAAGAGGCGCTGATGCTGCCATCTGCTGGACTCTTATTAACACTTGCTGCGTTTTTATCAAGCAGAAATTGATGTTTTTTATAGATCTGTGTTTCTGCAGGTCACAGGTTCCTCAATTATGAGTTTGACTCGTGTATATTTTTGGTTGAATGTTTGCTAAATATGAAAGCAGATGATTTTTCTACTCCAAATAAAAGATTTTTGTAAATGCAATAATTTGTCTCGCGTTATTTTGAGATGCATTTCCTACAATTTCAACATGTTTGCTTATTTAAATAGCTCTTTATCGTGTAAACGTATAAAAATAGAGAATTGTCTTTGAGCTGGAGTGTTTTGTTTGATCAAAACCATCAATATTGTGAAATATTATTACAATTCAAAATATCTTTATGTTTTTAAAAGTCCAGTTTGTTTTATTTTGTTTAAATGTGTTTTTGAAGATGACCATTTTCATGTTTTCTTTATGTCAATAATGTTTGAAATTATCACAAAAAGAAAACAGGAATTACATATTTACTTTACTTTCTTTATTGTCCACAAGTGGAAATTTATCTTTGGCTTCACCACACAACCACATCAGCGTTTACATTACACACATCACAGAAAAAACATTCAACACAAATACATTCAACGTCGTCACACATATCACATTAAAAAACACTATTTAAAACCCTACACATAATTAAAACCCAGTATTTAAAATTCTAATAGCACTTGGCACAAAGGACATTTGATACACATTTTTCTTACTTGAGGTTGCCTAAAACGTCTTTTTGATGGCAAGAGCTGAAATTGGATATTTAAGGGATGGGAACAATCTTCAACAATGATGTGTGCTTTCTGTCTAATTCTCATTGAATAAATGTCATTTGGTTGTTTTTGCGCTTTACCTACAATTGTACTGCCAATTTTTACTACTCGACACAGTTTTTGCTCTTCCTTCATTGGCAACAGTCCATACCATGCTATCATGTTAAAACTCACAACACTTTCAACCAAGTTCCTGTATACCATCTCAAGGACATCTTGACACCAAATTGTTGTAACCTCCTAATGAGGTATAATCTCTGCATTGCTTTTTTCAAAATGCACTCTGCATTTGCAGCAAATGTTAGTCCACTATCAATAAGTGTTCCTAAATATTTAAAACAGTCAACTGTCTCTATTTCATGTCCCTCAAGGACCAGCGGTTTCAACCCTTGACTAAGCACTTTTTTATTTCTGCTAGTTATCATCTCCTTGGTTTTTATTAAAATTGATCTCCAGTGAACTCTTTTTACACCAGTTTTGGAGCATATGTATATAATTATAGTACGAGGTATCTCCTTCTGTTCCTATTTTAGTCAACCGTCCAACAAGTGCCATATCATCTGCATATTTAAATAACTTAAAACCTGAGTCCTGGATCTTAAGTTCATTTGTGTAAAGAGAAAATAGTAAGGGTGATAAAATGCTTCCTTGCGGAACTCCTGTAATTACGATCATCGTTTTAGACACCATTTCATTAACGACTACTTTTCAGAATAAAAACAGCACAAATACTGAAATTGATGTGTTTTATTATATATGAAGTGATTAGATGCAAAAACCTCTAAATGCCGTTTGATATTTTCTTCTAAAATGAGCATTTATCTCTGACTCTTGTGTGTAGGCTCAGAAATTTTACTTGTATAGTGACAAATACCTTCATTTTTCGTTGCCTTTAAATTGAAATACTTGAACATAAACATAGGAGACTCAGAAAAGCTCATTTTAGTGGAAAATTTCAGACGGCATTAAGAGGTTTTTGCATCTGAATTCTTCATATAATAAAACACTTCAACTTTTGCATTTGTGCTGTATTTACTCTGAATTGTGTATTTAAGTAGGATTTTCTTAAATACAAATAATTTACTTCATCCTGTTTCAATATGTGACCATATTCTGAGTTTGGCATATACATATGTGATTGAATGTGTGCTCAATGTTATTTAAAAGCATGTATATTTTTATGAGTACTTCCAAAAGGCACTATCTAACAGCTAGAAACTGACTCTTCACAGTTAAATCTCTTTGAGCTTGTTGAAGTACAGCCAAATTTATATGTTATAGAAAAATATTAAATACAAATTTAAAAAGGAAAAATCAAGAGAAGCAAAGAAATGTAGACATGTAGAGTTGAAGACATGTTCACGGGCTTGTCTTTATGTGTGGATTTTGAGCAGTCGGTGTGTGTGCTGCTGAAGCTTAACAAAAGGCTGATTTTCTGAGTTGAACAGGAGGAGTGATTGACAGAAGCGCACACAGAGATCTCTGAGCTGAACAGATGTGCTCATTGTCCAGTCCAGCTGATGACGTGAGTGTGTGTGTTCGTGCTTTCGCTGTCTATACACCGTACTGTAGATTTCATCCTTCATTTTCTCATCTCACTTCTTTGGACTGGAGATACTGTAAGTGCCTCTAACTAATAATAATAACATTTTATTTATTTATTTATTTATGTATTTATTTGTTATATATATATATATATATTAATAATCAGGTTAAGCAAAACTAAAAGTTGATTTAAATCATATTGTAATAAGCATTATTTAATTTTGTATATTTTTTATTCCAGGTTTTAACTACTATAATATAAAAAAGTGAAGTAAAATTACTAAAAACTTTAAATAGTTTAAAACAAAAAATATAAAGGAAAAAATAAATCTTTAACTTAATTTTAGTATGTATTTTGTACTTTTTTGACAAAAATGCTAAGAATATAGTTACAAGTAATGCAGGTTATGTAATCAGATTACTTTTTCAAGTTACTAGTAAAGTATTGCATTACCTTTTTGACGTTATTTTTAAATTATAAAAAATAAAAAAGTAAAGGTAGTTACTTGATTCGCTAGCATATATTCTTTTATACTTGTGTTGAGAGAAGTCAGCAATGATGGTGCAGATGTGTTTGTTGTGTGTAGCCTACGATGCTAACATGATTCTTAATTATGTAACACATTACTTTAAAAGTAACTAAATACCGTATTTAGTTACTTTTCAAAGAAGCAACTCAAGATATAAAGTTTATGTGTGTGTGTTTATATATATATATATATATATATATATATATATATATATATATATATATATATATATATATATCTTTCCTCAGTACTGTTCAGTTGTACATTAATCCCTGTACGTTTACATGGCCGAGCGCACAGATAATTAAATCACAACGTAAAATATGTGAAAATGCTTAATCCACATTGTTTATTTAGTTTTTTAAGTAACAATGAATTATTTCTTTATTTCCAAAAGATTTTTTTTTAAGTAAAGCCAGTTGCCTTCTCATTTATTGACTGGCATAAAATCTTCTATTCCTGTGTTGAGGTAATCAGTGCTCGAATATTAACTCGTAAATTTGAAAGGCTTAACTTACCTGGTTGAGCAGATGTGAGACGCCAGCAGCAGTTGAAGCAGGAATCCTTAGCAATGCAAAATCCAGCAACGTCATGGGTCAGAATTTACCACGTGATTAAGACGACTTAAAATACTCTATTTGATGCTTTTTTTCTTCCTGTAAACTGGGGTATTATCAGGGTTTCTGCAGGGTCTTCAAGTCTTAAAATGTCTTAAATCTCAAAATCCAAACGTTAAGCCTTAAAAAGTCTTAAATTTACTGAAATATTGTGTTGCAGGCTTAATTTTTTTTTAAAAGGTCTTAATTTTTCTTTGTTCATGTATTGCTACCAAAAACGACCAACAATCATCTCAATAAAACCTTAAACCTTTTATTTAAGTTTATTTATTATTTTATTTAATTAAAGTTTTAAGTCCATTTTTCACAATAGCTTAGTGGTTAGCACGCCGACATATGGTGCAGTAGCACGTCAAGGCGTCCCGAGTTCGAATCCCAGCTCGAGGACATTTCCCAACCCGACCTCTCTCTCTCTCTCTCTCTCTCTCTCTCTCCCCCACTTTGCTTCCTGTCTCAATACTGTCCTAATAAAGGCAAAAAGGCCAAAAATAAATCTAAAAAAAAAAAAAAAAAGTGCTCCATGTATTTACTACTGAGGATGCTGACCTGCACATGTTGTACATAAATTTAGTTTATTATAGTTTTTAAAACTTTTGTTTATTTATTTTTTTAAGTTTATAATGGGAAAAAAAGTTTTGGATACAAGTAGAGCTTGCTTGATTTCACACAATATTTAAAATATTTTGCAAAGAAATAAAGTCTGAAATATTTCCATTTATTATTATTAAATTACTATTTTATTATTAAATGTATTAAATTATATAAAAAAAATTGATAGGGCAAATAAAAATCTTTTCCATCCGGACCATTCAAAAAATTCCTTATAGCCCTTTCTGGGTCTAAAATTTCATTCTGGTCTTAAAAAATGTCTTAGATTTAACTCTGTGAAACCTGCAGAAACCCTGTATTATACTGCTAGATGGCAGACACACAATTCATTACCCACGCAATCTCACGGCAATACGTAACTATTTTATTTAGTACCTAATTCGTATGAATTTGTACAATCTAATTTGTACAATTTAGTACGATTTGCTCATCTCCAAATGATGGGTGGGGTTAGGGGTGGGGTTAGGTGCCACGCCTCCTTTTCAAAATCGTACATTTTCGTATGACAATCTCGTACGAATTCGCCACTAAACTGACAAAAACGTAAAATACTTACGTTCCCTCGTGAGATCAGGCTGAAATATCACATTTATTGTATTTTACACACACACACACACACACACACACACACACACACACACACACACACATATTATGATGCTGCAAAATACTGTAAATTAACTGTAGCCTGCTCTATTTTAACTGTCAAAAAAGATACTGTTATTTTATTTATTTTTTATTAGCAAAACTAATAAGAATGATAAAATAAGACAAATTAACAAAATGTATTGTTTCATTAGTATTATAATTTAATATGTGTATTCATAATGTGATGACTAATGTTTATTGAAATGTTTATTATATAATCATTATATGTTCATATTATAATGATTATACTGAGAAAAAGAAAAAAAACATACACTGTAGTGATCTAAAAAATAATTAATTGACAGAATCAAAAATATCCTATAGAACAAAATGAAATTCCATAAGAAACACGTAAAGACGAAGTGAAAATTCCAATAAATAAAGTCATAATGCCCAAAAGGATTTTAAAATCCTATAAGACAAAGTAAAAATCCAATTTAAAAATTTTTAATGTCCATTAGAATTTTAGGAATCCATTAAGATCCTATAGGATCCTAAAGGATAAACTGAATTTCCAATCAGATTTTTTTGACAAGAACAGATGTTTGTACAATGTGTAAACATAATACAAAGTAACGTAAGTAACGTAAGGCATTTTCAAGTAGTTTCAAGCTTGGAATATTAGGCTAATACTAAAAGTTAACTTTCCCCAATACTACTGTTCCCAAAATGTGTGATATGCCTACTGTTTTTATGACCGCGCATACAAATAACGGACCAATTGGTAACTTAAAATATTCGCTAATTCATTTTTGTTTAGTGAAACTTTGAGCTGTGAAATCAGCGTGTGTGTGTTATAGAGTCACTTCAGTATATCCTGTTCTACCGAGCAAAGGTCACCTTTCAAGACAGCACTGTTTGTGCTCGATTTCACTCGTACTTTAAAAACTGTTTATCTACAGCAGACAGGGAAAGACTGGGGTTTTCTCCTAGCATTAGCTTTGTGTGTGTTTGTGTTTGTGCAGACGGAGATGCAGTGGTGCAGGACGTCTCTTTTCCAGGTATACAGGTGTGTCTGTTTGCATTTCACTCAAACACAGAGGACAAAACGAGTGGGACTTGAGGTCAAACCGACTTTAGTTCAGTCAGTATGGAGGTTTATTAGCGCTAGCATACAGGAGCGCTCAGAATGACGATATTAGCCGTCATTTAGATGTAATTTGTGTGAGTGTGGTGAGTATTTATTGCAGAAATGCAGTCCGCAGGGCGAGAGGACGAGGAGCGCTGTGATTTTCTGTTCAAGATCATCCTGATTGGGGACAGTAATGTGGGGAAGACCTGTGTTATCCAGAGCTTCAGGTCAGCAGAGGTCACTGAACTGCAGCACAACACTATTGGAGTGGATTTTACCGTGCGCAGCATCGATGTTGACGGCAGGAGAGTCAAGGTGGATAAGTTTATCTTTTTTGCATGTGTAAAATATAAATCATCACATTTATACATTTTATTTGTCAACAATCGGTTTCAAACAATGATTATTACATTAAAAATGCTGCATTCCAAGCAATTTGAGTTGGGATAACATGGGGGAATTAAGTTAACTTAGTAGTTTTTACAAGTTTAAGTGAATTGAACATGAGATGATTAAGTTAACTTAGTAGATTTTACAAATTTAGGTGAAATGAACATGAGACGATTAAGTTAACTTAGTTTTTACAAGTTAAAGTGGATTGAACATGAGACGATTAAGTTAACTTAGTAGTTTTTACAGATTTAAGTGGATTAAACATGAGACGATTAAGTTAACTTAGTAGTTTTTACAGATTTAAGTGGATTAAACATGAGACGAATAAGTTAATTTAGTAGTTTTTACAGATTTAAGTGGATTAAACATAAGACGATTAAGTTAACTTAATAGTTTTTACAGATTTAAGTGGATTGAACATGAGACGATTAAGTTAACTTAGTAGTTTTTACAAATTTAAGTGGATTGAACATGAGATGATTAAGTTAACTTAGTAGTTTTTGCAAATTTAAGTGGATCAAACATGAGACGATTAAGTTAACTTAGTAGTTTTTACAGATTTAAGTGGATTAAACATGAGACGAATAAGTTAATTTAGTAGTTTTTACAGATTTAAGTGGATTAAGCATAAGACGATTAAGTTAACTTAGTAGTTTTTACAGATTTAAGTGGATTGAACATGAGACGGTTAAGTTAACTTAGTAGTTTTTACAAATTTAAGTGGGTTGAACATGAGATGATTAAGTTAACTTAGTAGTTTTTGCAAATTTAAGTGGATCAAACATGAGACGATTAAGTTAACTTAGTAGTTTTTACAAATTTAAGTGGATCAAACATGAGACGATTAAGTTAACTTAGTAGTTTTTACAAATTTAAGTGGATCAAACATGAGACGATTAAGTTAACTTAGTAGTTTTTACAGATTTAAGTGGATCAAACATGAGACGATTAAGTTAACTTAGTAGTTTTTACAGATTTAAGTGGATCAAACATGAGACGATTAAGTTAACTTAGAAGTTTTTACAGATTTAAGTGGATTGAACATGAGACGGTTAAGTTAACTTAGTAGTTTTTACAGATTTAAGTGGAATAAACATGAGACGATTAAGTTAATTTAGTAGTTTTTACAGATTTAAGTGGATTAAACATGAGACGATTAGGTTAACTTAGTAGTTTTTACAAATTTAAGTGGATCAAACATGAGAAGATTAAGTTAACTTAGTAGTTTTTACAGATTTAAGTGGATCAAACATGAGACGATTTAGTTAACTTAGTAGTTTTTACAGATTTAAGTGGATCAAACATGAGACGATTTAGTTAACTTAGTAGTTTTTACAGATTTAAGTGGATTGAACATGAGACGGTTAAGTTAACTTAGTAGTTTTTACAGATTTAAGTGGATTGAACATGAGATGATTTAGTTAACTTAGTAGTTTTTACAAATTTAGGTGGAATGAAAAGGAGACAACTAAGTTAACTTAGTAGTTTTTGCAAATTTAAGTGGATCAAACATGAGACGATTAAGTTAACTTAGTAGTTTTTACAAATTTAAATGGATCAAACATGAGACGATTAAGTTAACTTAGTAGTTTTTACAGATTTAAGTGGATCAAACATGAGACGATTAAGTTAACTTAGTAGTTTTTACAGATTTAAGTGGATTGAACATGAGACGGTTAAGTTAACTTAGTAGTTTTTACAGATTTAAGTGGATTAAACATGAGACGATTAAGTTAACTTAGTAGTTTTTACAGATTTAAGTGGATTAAACATGAGACGATTAAGTTAACTTAGTAGTTTTTACAAATTTAAGTGGATTAAACATGAGACGATTAAGTTAACTTAGTAGTTTTTACAAATTTAAGTGGATTAAACATGAGACGATTAAGTTAACTTAGTAGTTTTTACAGATTTAAGTGGATTAAACATGAGATGATTAAGTTAACTTAGTAGTTTTTACAGATTTAAGTGGATTGAACATGAGTTGATTAAGTTAGCTTAGTAGTTTTTACAAATTTAAGTGGATCAAACATGAGACGATTAAGTTAACTTAGTAGTTTTTACAGATTTAAATGGATTGAACATAAGACGATTAAGTTAACTTAGTAGTTTTTAGAGATTTAAGTGGATTAAACATGAGACGATTTAGTTAACTTAGTAGTTTTTACAGATTTAAGTGGATTGAACATGAGATGATTTAGTTAACTTAGTAGTTTTTACAAATTTAGGTGGAATGAAAAGGAGACAACTAAGTTAACTTAGTAGTTTTTGCAAATTTAAGTGGATCAAACATGAGACGATTAAGTTAACTTAGTAGTTTTTACAAATTTAAATGGATCAAACATGAGACGATTAAGTTAACTTAGTAGTTTTTACAGATTTAAGTGGATCAAACATGAGACGATTAAGTTAACTTAGTAGTTTTTACAGATTTAAGTGGATCAAACATGAGACGATTAAGTTAACTTAGTAGTTTTTACAGATTTAAGTGGATTGAACATGAGACGGTTAAGTTAACTTAGTAGTTTTTACAGATTTAAGTGGATTAAACATGAGACGATTAAGTTAACTTAGTAGTTTTTACAGATTTAAGTGGATTAAACATGAGACGATTAAGTTAACTTAGTAGTTTTTACAAATTTAAGTGGATTAAACATGAGACGATTAAGTTAACTTAGTAGTTTTTACAGATTTAAGTGGATTAAACATGAGATGATTAAGTTAACTTAGTAGTTTTTACAGATTTAAGTGGATTGAACATGAGTTGATTAAGTTAGCTTAGTAGTTTTTACAAATTTAAGTGGATCAAACATGAGACGATTAAGTTAACTTAGTAGTTTTTACAGATTTAAATGGATTGAACATAAGACGATTAAGTTAACTTAGTAGTTTTTAGAGATTTAAGTGGATTAAACATGAGACGATTTAGTTAACTTAGTAGTTTTTACAGATTTAAGTGGATTGAACATGAGACGATTAAGTTAACTTAGTAGTTTTTAGAGATTTAAGTGGATTAAACATGAGACGATTTAGTTAACTTAGTAGTTTTTACAGATTTAAGTGGATTGAACATGAGATGATTTAGTTAACTTAGTAGTTTTTACAAATTTAAGTGGATCAAACATGAGACGATTTAGTTAACTTAGTAGTTTTTACAGATTTAAGTGGAGTAAACATGAGACGATTTAGTTAACTTAGTAGTTTAGTTTTTTAAAATTTAAGTGGATTGAACATGAGATGATTAAGTTTGAAGTTTTTACATATTTAGGTGGAATAAACAGGAGACGATTAAGTTAACTTAGATTTTTCAAATTTAAGTGGATTGAACAGGAGACGATTAAGTTGTCCCCAAAAACCCCGGCATAATTGTGTTATTTTAACTCATTTATCGTTAACCGAACAGCAAACGCAATTTATTTGAGTGTAAATGATGCTTATTACTTTTATTTTTGTAGTGGAGAAATATTTGAATATATTTTATTTGAATAATTAAAGATTGAAGAATATGTAATTATTAACACATTAATAAAATAAAACATAATTTATGAAGTAATAGATTAATATGTTATGGGAGAAATGTAGTAATTATTTTAATAGTTCAAATTAATATGACATTGTTTAAAAAAAGATTATAAATGAATACTTTTTACATTTTGTTCTGTGTGTTGATTTAGGAATGGGATCAGTTTTAAAAACTAAATAAAATGTTGAATATCAAGCTTTCTTTTAATTATGGAGTGCTCAGCATTTATTTATGCTCTATTATATGCATATTTATTATATTTGTTCGTATACGTTATTATTAACGTATTTAGTACTAATCTAACTGAATAAGTAGCTAATCTAACAAAATAACTTTAGATAATGAACCAAAATTAGCAGCCTAAACTTATGTTAAGGGAAAAAAATTAAATAAAAAAAGAGAAACAAAAAATATATAATGTTTACTTGAAATTTAGTAGGTTGTAATTTTTCTTGCATTATTTTGCTTGAATTTAAATGTATTATCTTTCTATTTCCTAAGACGTATCTTACCTATATTCACTGAGAAATTGATAAAATATTCATTTTACTCATTCATGCTGACCACTGTGTGTATATAAATGATATGTAATATAAATATATCATTCTCTCTATACAGACCAGACATGCACACGTATAATATATGTATTATTTTTAAACAATGTAAATTTTAAAATTGTGTAAATGTGATGTATTATAAAATATATTTAAAATGTGTAATTGTTATTAAATAATAAACCAACATAAAATGTTCAGATGCAGGTGTGGGACACGGCGGGACAGGAGCGTTTCCGCACCATCACTCAGAGCTATTATCGCAGTGCTCATGGCGCTATGATTGCGTATGATCTGAGCCGCCGCGACACCTTCGACTCTCTGCCACACTGGATTCAGGCGCTGGAGCAGTACGGAGCCGCCAGCCTCGTCC